TATCAAACCCCAAGTTCTAAGTTCAAGACACTCACACAATAACATATAAGGATGGCCAAATGAGCTTTCCAAACTTGGGTGAAAAAATGCTTTGCATATTGAAGAGTCTAGTTTTCAGCAAGAGAGTACATATACAAATTGGTATGCCAATAATCTTTTTGTGATATTATTGTGACTAGACTGTGAATATCATTTCATCATTATAGATAGATATTCAGCATTGATTGTAATATTGTGACTAGATTGTGAATACCATTTCATCCTTATAAATAGATATTCAGCACTCCGAACCATCGTGAAAGGGACAAATCTGTCATAACGAAAGAGCCTTGAATGCTCAACTTGGTTTGTTTTTCATCTCTAGTTTTCTACATGCAACTCTACAAGTTTACTATTTTGTTTTTCCATATTCATTTGTTTTAATTCTTTGTACTTACAGTCTTTGAATTAAATTCAATTTATATATTTCTGCAGTATGGGGCTGTTCCTAATTATGTTTTGCACATTTTCACACATAGTACAGTATCTACAAAATTATCCAACGGTTTTTACCCATGACACCCTACCTTAGCATCTGCTATATAGATGAAATGATGGAAAGAGGGAAGGAATTAGATAGAAGGATACTAAGGTCAAGTTTGGAATATTGAAAAAAAGTTAAAAAGTCAAAAAGTTACTCAAAAAGTTAATACTATTCACCAAAAGTTAACAATTACGGCTGCACAACTTCTAATTATAATTTTCCCCTACAAACCAATATTTACAATTTTTTAATACAAATTTTTTTATAAAAAGTCAAAAAGTTAACCCAAACATCTATATTTTTCTCTTCAATTTTTTAGTCCAAAAAGATAAAAAATGCGCTTATTTAAGACACGCCAAACAACCCCTAAGAAGGATATAGAAAATTTGGTGAGTGCGTAAATAAGATAAGAACTTTGAGATAATGCTATACTTGGAACAACAATGATTCATCCCACTAAAAACATCACCACTAATAGCACTAATACATTAAAAAAGTAAAAAAAAAAAAAAAAATACAACTCCAAGACCAAAACATCACATCATTAATGGCGAGACCCACTGCCACCTAATTAGTGGGAGCACTAATTAGTGCTCCCAAGCATTTTTCTACTTGGAATTACGATGATATAAGTAAATGAACACAATATCATCATTTTTAGGTGTCAATTGATCAGGTATAGGTGGTGTGGCTTTAGCTATACTATAAGTTTAATGTCACTTTTTCGTCACCTTGATCTAGAACATTGTACGGGAAAGAAATAAACCTTCTCGTATAATCCTGTTGATTAAGTCTGCGCTCCTCCGTACGTCGTTGCTTTACTCCCTAAAAACACAAACGTGAGCTAGCCGGCGGGTGTGTGCCGAATACCTCTTCGATGCCTAAGTCAGCAAAATAGACAAATAGACAAAAACTCTGTGTATTCGAAAATCAAAGTTGTGTTACCTCTCCATAGGTGATGTTGTGAGCTTTTATAGGTTCCGCGTGGCATAATCCTAGTAGGACTCTTACTCCTCCATGTAGAGTCCTCCCAGGAGTCATACTCCTGAAAGATAATGCTTATCCTTCAACACCCACAACAACAAATTTGGGATTTAAAGACAAAACAAATTTGTCTCAAAATGTATATATTTCGTCACCCAAACTAATTATGACGAACATTTTTCGTCACCCATTTTGTCTCCAAAGGGTCGTCGTTAAAGGGTCTTAGAGACCAAAAAAAAAATTCGTCATTGAAAATGATAAATTTGTGACGAATTTTTTTGTCTCCAATACACTTTGTTGGGAACATACTTGTAAGTAATTAGCGACAAAATATTTTGTCATTAAAGAAAAAATTAGAGACAAAAGTATTTTGTCATAAATATAAGAAATAGAGACGAAATAATTTTGTCACTAATAAAAACGAAGACGAAAATTTTTTGTCAAAGAAGCTACCAATAGAGACAAAAACAAATTCATCATTAAAAATGATAAATTTGTGACGAATTTTTTTGTCTCCAATACACTCTGTTGGGAACATACTTGCAAGTAATTAGCAACAAAATATTTTGTCATTAAAGAAGAAATTAGAGACAAAAGTATTTTGTCATAAATATAAGAAATAGAGACGAAATAATTTTGTCACGTTTAATATAAACGAAGACAAAAAATTTTTGTCAAAGAAGCTACCAATAGAGACAAAAATAAATTCGTCATTAAAAATAATGAAATAATGTCAAAAAAAATTCGTCACACATTGAGGGTAATAGTGACAAAATGTGACAATATTTTTTGTCATGACAAATTCATTTAGCGACGAAATAAAGAATTTATGACAAAATTAATCATCCACCTAAGCTAAATAAGAGACAAAAAAACCTTCTTTAGGGATGAAGGGTTAGGTCATCTGATGAAACAATGATAGAGAATAGAGCTGACAAACAAAATGAAGAGTGTGACGAACCTGATGTGGATTACGATATGGATCTTGATGTAGACTAGGATTTGTAGTTATTTTGCACTTTCTATATGAACATTGTTCTTAATTAATGTAGTTGAGTTTCAGTTGTGGGGTTCATCCACTGTTATGTAGGTTTATCATTGATTGGTCATATTGTGTGTCTGATGGCTTTGTAATTAATTTGTTCTATGATAAGTAAATGGTAAAAACAAAAATCATCCATATCACTCTAGCCATATTTCAATGATTTAGAGCCTATATGACATATCCACTTGTTGAGATTGTTGTTGCTTTATGCTTTATGTATAGAAATATATAATTATCTTTTCTTTACATCTAATGTTCAATTATGCGTATCCACCAAAAAAATGTTCAATTATGCTTTATAGTTGGGCAAAATGGACGCTACAAAAAAGCAATTGACCAAACCAAGTACCGCAACTAAGAAGGTAACGAACTATGAGAAACAAAGAATGAAGACTATTCATAAAAACCGTGAGAGAATGAATGCTCTAGGAGTGAAGAATATAACAATTTGTTTGAAGGCTGCGGTGTTTTTCTACTCTAACAGGGATTGACCTAGAACCACACCTATGTTTTGTATACATCCTTTCTCTGTTCGCGATGTTGGCCTCTAATTGTTCCTATAATGAAGAATGACCAATATAACAATGAAATGTATCATTAGTAAGACAAATATGTTGGCTTTTGATTGTTCCTGTAAGGAATAATGAACTAATATAACAATGAAATGTATCATTAGTAAGACAAATATGTTGGCTTTTGATTGTTCCTGTAAGGAATAATGAACTAATATAACAATGAAATGTATCATTAGTAAGACAAATATGTTGGCTTTTGATTGTTCCTGTAAGGAATAATGAACTAATATAACAATGAAATGTATCATTAGTAAGACAAATATGTTGGCTTTTGATTGTTCCTGTAAGGAATAATGAACTAATATAACAATGAAATGTATCATTAGTAAGACAAATATGTTGGCTTTTGATTGTTCCTGTAAGGAATAATGAACTAATATAACAATGAAATGTATCATTAGTAAGACAAATATGTTGGCTTTTGATTGTTCCTGTAAGGAATAATGAACTAATATAACAATGAAATGTATCATTAGTAAGACAAATATGTTGGCTTTTGATTGTTCCTGTAAGGAATAATGAACTAATATAACAATGAAATGTATCATTAGTAAGACAAATATGTTGGCTTTTGATTGTTCCTGTAAGGAATAATGAACTAATATAACAATGAAATGTATCATTAGTAAGACAAATATGTTGGCTTTTGATTGTTCCTGTAAGGAATAATGAACTAATATAACAATGAAATGTATCATTAGTAAGACAAATATGTTGGCTTTTGATTGTTCCTGTAAGGAATAATGAACTAATATAACAATGAAATGTATCATTAGTAAGACAAATATGTTGGCTTTTGATTGTTCCTGTAAGGAATAATTGACCAATATAACAATGAAATGTATCATTAGTAAGACAAATATGTTGGCTTTTGATTGTTCCTGTAAGGAATAATGAACCAATATAACAATGAAATGTATCACTAGTAAAACAAATTTAATGGTTGATAATAAAGAAATTGCATTGTTCCTCTCTATCATTTTCCTATATATCATTTCAACTTAAAAGATATTTCAAATTATTCACTAGTTTCATTCAATTCTGTGAAAAATAGATTAGAGGACTTATTGAGATTTCATCATAAGATGGTTTTTCTAGGTGAATAAAGAAAAACGAGTAATTTACACCGTTCACAAATAGGGGGTATATAAGCATGGGCAAGATAGATTGTGAAAAAATCCATTTACATTTCACAAGATATGGAACAATTACTGATACCGAACTCATAACCCTTTCTTTCTTCCGCAACTTTATCAAATCTAAAGTTCTGTCTCAATACCCTATATTAGTTACTTAGCTAGTTGCTTACCATTATCATGAAACTTCAGACCAAACCCAAGAACAACCAGAAAATTAATACAATCATAGAAACTGAAATCTTAGTTCTTTATTCTATGATGTGAAAGATGCACTTTAAGGAACTATAAATTAATCTCCTATTATGCGAGCCTTCCAATCCATGTTTAATAGTTTCCCTTTCTCATTTTTCCACTTATTTAGTTTTTATTATGTTCCACTTACATGCCTAGAAGATAAAGGGAAAAGAATACATATGGAATTTCACAGCAAATTGATTGTGTTCTTTCTAGTTGTTTTAGAATCTCTCCCTATTCTAATCAAATTCTTTCTTTGCTAATATAATAAAAAAGATGAAAATGTTACCAAAAATTCTTTAGTGTTCCACTTTTTATCAATAAGATCTATCCACTTGGTAGGATCGACATTCTTCGGTGGGTGGTTTCTTGCGTACTCCTCCCCTTTAGCCTCCTTTAGCTCCATGAATTGTTTGTGCAGCCTATAGGTATGGTTACTCAATCTCCGACCAAATTTTGTGTTTATTGCCTTCTCTATATCAACAGGGTCTTCTTGTAAATCAAATTGATCCTGCAAAAAATAGATAAGTCATAGATAATTCTTATAAAAAATAAAATAATTACAATAAATAATTAAGATTTCTAACCTATTATAAAAATGAGTAAAATCTCCTATAAGTAGACAACGAACTTACATTCAAGCGTTGAAACATCGCCTCCTTAACGGAGGCATCAACATACTTCCACCTACGAACACTTGGATCTGATAAACGAGTTCGCACTTCTACACCAATCTTTGAGGCTAGTTTTGAGGCATAGTCCCCTACCGGTGCACGAAATTCTGGAGGGATAGGCACACTAAGCTTTCCATCTCTATCAACAAGGCCTTGAACCTCTTTGCCTCGAGTCGGGCCACGAGCACGCTTAGCAGCTGATGTTGTGAAGCCACAATATTGAAATAGTATGTGAACAAATTTAATTAAGATCTCAAATCAATGTAAATAAAGAGTGTGTCTTACCAATAGTATTACCAGCAGTCACCTCAAGTTGAGGCTCCACATTGAGAGGTGGTGGCGGATTGCTAGTCACCTCAGGACGTGAAGAGGTATCCCCCTCTTCTAATGCGTGGGTCAATGCCTCATGATGAGATTGTGAATGGGCTCTCGATGGTATCTCTAACAGCTGAATAACATAATAAAATATGAATATATGTACAAACATATACATGTCTATGTGTGTATGAATTGAAAGTAACAAGAAAGAATATATTTCACAATGCATAAATGTATAATACCTCATGCTCAAACGAATCATAGGATTCAGTGTCACTGCCATCTTCAGCCTCTGACGGTCGATAATCATCGTCATTTTCCTCAATTGGTATTTGTTTTTCCTTCCTCAATTTCTTATGTTGAACCGTAGCCTTCAAACAAGTTGTTATATTCTTCACTCCTAGAGTATTCATTCTCTCACGGTTTTTATTAATATTCTTCATTCTTTGTGTCTCATAGTTCGTTACCTTCTTAGTTGCGGTACTTGGTTTGGTCAATTGCTTTTTTGTAGCGTCTATTTTGCCCAACTATAAAGCATAATTGAACATTTTTTTGGTGGATACCCATAATTGAACATTAGATGTAAAGAAAAGATAATTATATATTTCTATACATAAAGCATAAAGCAACAACAATCTCAATAAGTGGATATGTCATATATGCTCTAAATCATTGAAATATGGCTAGAGTGATATGGATGATTTTTGTTTTTACCATTTATTTATCATAGAACAAATTAATTACAAAGCCATCAGACACACAATATAACCAATCAATGATAAACCTACATAACAGTGGATGAACCCCACAATTGAAATTCAAATACATTAATTAAGAACAATGTTCATATAGAAAGTGCAAAATAACTACAAATCCTAGTCTACATCAAGATCCATATCGTAATCCACATCAGGTTCGTCACACTCTTCATTTTGTTTGTCAACTCTATTCTCTATCATTGTTTCATCAGATGACCTAACCCTTGTAACAACTTCTGCTTCAACACCATCTCTATAACATTGAACATTAGGGCCGATGTCAATTGGAACAACATTGGTAATATTTTCTTGTTGGAACACATCGTTTTTTTCTGGTTCATGTAATGATTCTTCGTCACCTACCTCTGGTACATCAAAGACACCCCTATGTTGCACTCGTTGAACGACTTGCCAAGGTTGTCCCCATTTGGTATCATTCAGGTAAAAGACTTGCTTAGCTTGGCTAGGCAAGATGAAAGGGTCGTGTTGATACCACCGACTTGTGACATCAATACTTGTGCAATAATCATCGGTTCGCAATGTTCTACTTTGACCTGTGTTTCCTGTGTTGTACCATTCACACTGGAACAATACAACTTTGTTATGACAGATGTACTCCAATTCCCAAACATTGCACAAGTGACCATAAAATTCATGCGTCACTCCCTCATGATCCCCTTCCGTAAGCACACCACTATTCTGACTCTTACGGCGATTGTCTACTTCTCTTGTACGAAACCGTACGCCATTGATTATGCAACCTGAGTACTCTTTTACTAACAAATTTGGGCCATTTTCTAATGACCATAAATCATTGGTTGCTTCTGGTGACTTTTCTTCTGTCAATATATTTATCTACATTCACATATAACGTACATTAAGATAGTAAAAATAAATTAATAAATGATCAAATCTTATACAAATTTTTAATCATGTCTTAAATTGAAAATGCCTTACCCGCTCTTTGAACCACTTGGGAAACTCTTGTTGTTGTATACGGGTTATGCCTTGGTCAGATGGAGTCCGTAATAGATTTTTGTGTATCCTACTCAAAAGAACGTGATTATTATGCACTGCTAACTACATTAACAAAGCTAAGAATACACATATTTAAATGAAAAACATACTCTAGATATTTCTCTATCTCGGAGCTATTGTTCAACAAGAACCAATGAGCCATATCACGATATTCTTGTGACATATCAGCATCCCTTGTGATTAGGCCAATAGGACGGGCAGTTTCTGTGAATACAGTTAACCCTTTGCGACGTTCGCCACAATCTTGATTTCGTTCGAGTCGATTATGCACTGTTTCGATCCCATCAACATACATTGAACAAAAAGTAATGCACTCTTTGACAATGTAAGCCTCTGCGATTGAACCTTCTGGTCGAGCTCGGTTTGTAACAAACTTTTTTAAAGCTCCGAGAAACCTTGAAAAGAGAACTAGTTAAGAGCAAGGTTACACATGCAACATATAATTACGAACCTTTCAATTTAACAATTACCTTTCAATCCGGTACATCCATGGATATTGCACCGGTCCTCCAAGAATAGCCTCACGCGGCAAGTGAACGGCCAAGTTAACCATCACATCAAAGAAGGCTGGAGGAAAGATCTTTTCAAGCTTGCATAATATGTGTACTATACGTTCCTCTAATTTCTCAAGTTCATTACGGCGCAGTGTCCTTGAGCACAAATCTTGGAAAAAGCTACCTAACTCAAATAGCGTTTTACTAATCTCTTTGTCTACGAAGCCATGCATCCCAATTGGAAGAGTCCGTTGTATGAGTACATGGCAGTCATGACTTTTCAAGCCTGTTAATTTACCATTTCTCGTATTCACTGATCTTGATATGTTTGCAGCATAGCCATCCGGATACTTCACTGATTTCAAGAATTCAAAGAAACCCTCCCTCTCTTCAGGGGTCAATGAAAAGATTGCCCTAGGTTTGACATAAGTTCCATCAGGACGACGTGTTAACCACAACTCTTTCCTTATACCCATATCTTCCAAGTCCATCCGTGCTTTGTCGGTGTCTTTGTTCTTTCCATCAATGCCTAACATAGTTCCAAAGGTATTTTCACTAAAATTCTTCTCGACGTGCATAACATCAATGTTATGTCGAAGCTTCTGTTTCTTCCAGTATGGTAACTCATACAAGATGCTTACCTTTGTCCAATTTGGTGCCTGACGGAGTCTTTTCTTATTTCTTGGATGCTTTCCATATGTGACACCTGTCACTCTGTCCAATTGCTCTAATATCTTTTCCACTGGTAACTTTAAAGATCTCTTTCGCTTCTCATGCTTACCATTGTAAGCCTTACTCTTTCGCCTTTCGGGGTGGTTTTGAGGCAAGTAGCATCGATGGTTAGTGTATGCAGTCTTACCTTTCAAGGATTGAAAATATGGTTCATCATTGCAAGTGTAGCAAGAATAATGACCCTTTGTTCTCCATCCAGATATGTCACCAAATGCGGGCCAATCGTGTATAGTCCACATCAAAGCTGCACGCATTTGGAAAGACTCACCAGTTACGGCATCGTAAGATAATGCACCATTTTTCCACAACTCATTCAACTCATCCACCAGAGGTCTCATGTAGACATCAATATCGATCCCTGGTTATGATTCTCCAGGAATAAGTAGTGACATCATAAGAAAGGGATCTTTCTTAACCAACCAAGGTGGCAAGTTATAAGGAATGAGTACTACAGGCCATAAACTATACGAGTTGCTCATGTTCCCGAAAGGATTGAATCCATCAACAGCCAACCCTAGCCTCACATTTCGAGGCTCCAGGGAAAATTGAGGATGTTGCACATCAAATTCCTTCCATTCATCACTATCGGCGGGATGTCTCAATACTCCGTCATCTATACATTTCTCCTTGTGCCATCTCATGTCCTCAGCAGTCTTTCTTGACATGTACAATCTTTTCAACCTTGGTGTTAATGGGAAGTACCGCAACACCTTATGGGGAATCTTCTTACCCCTGCCACGATTGATCTTGTATCTGGATGCCTTACATTTTGGACATTTATCTAACCTTACATTTTCCTTCCAAAAGAGTACACAATCATTTATGCAAGCATCAATTAACTCATATAACAAGCCCAAATCACGAAGTATTTTCTTAGCTTCATAAAATGACTTTGGAACCAAATTATCTTTTGGTAAAAGTTTTGTTAAAAACTCCAATAGTGTGTTAATCGACTTATTGCTCCAGTGGTTTGTTACCTTCATATTAAGCAGCTCGATGACAAACTTCAACAGAGTGTAGTTTGTGCAACCTAAGTACACCTCACGTTTGGCATCATTCAATAGTTTATCAAACGTTTGTAGTTCCTTATTCTGGGGTGCATCGTTGGGTTCTCCTCTTATTCGATCTTCCACTAAGGCATCAATACCACCTAAAACCTCATCTTCATCAATTGCCATTTCATGATGAGCCTCATTTGATACACGTGGTTCCCCGTGCTCATGCCAAATAGTGTACGTTTGCATAATCCCATATTGAAGCAAATGAATTTGCACATTTCGAAAATTTTGGGAATAATAGTTCACACAGTTCAAACATGGGCACGGAATTTTACCTTCCTGGTCAACAACTGCCATTGCAAATTTGGTAAATGATGTCACCCCATCAATAAATGGCTGACTCATCCTTCCATCAGGTGTCTTACCCAATGCAATCCAACTCTTGTCCATGTCTGATCACAAATGAAAGATCAAGTTTTTTTTGACATAAAACGCATCATGTGTACTATTAACCTATTCCATTTAGGAATGCACACTGTGTATCATAGAAAGAAAATCATATTACGTTGTCTATCTCTAATCTTTCCTTAGTTCTCCAAGTATATAACATATGTGTTGGACTTTTCAAAGAATTTTTTTATACTTGTTTTTAATGCATTAAAGTGTTATTATGAGGGTAAGACTTGGGAGAAATTAATAAATGCTAAGATTTTTTTTCAAATCAAAAAATCAGAAAATTTAGATTGGGAGATTGGAGCTCCCACAAAGCTTGAGGCTAAAAACCCCCTTTTGCTTAATATATAGTATAGATATAGATAGCATATCACCCGTGCTATGCACGGGTTGTATTTACAATTATCTATATATGTGAATTGTGATTTTTAAATGTCTTTTTTTTTTTTAAATGTCTTCTTTTTTTTCATTTTTATATTATATTAAAGTTTAATATTTTGATAACAATCATATGTGCTGGACTTTCTAATGAATTAAATATCTTCTTTTTTTATATTATATTAAAGTTTAATATTTTGATAATAATCATATGTGTTGGACTTTCTAAGGAATTAAATATCTTCTTTTTTTATATTATATTAAAGTTTAATATTTTGATAATAATCATATGTGTTGGACTTTTTAAGGAATTTTTTTTATATTTGTTCTTAATGCATTAAAGTGTTATTATAAGGGATAATAATCATATGTGTTGGGACTTTTCAAGGAATTCATATGTGTTGGACTTTTCAAGGAATTTTTTTATGCTTGTTCTTAATGCATTAATGCGTTATTATGAGGGTAAAGCTTGAGGGTTGGGAGAAGTTAATAAATACTAAGGTTTTATTTTTAAAAAAAATTAAAAAATCAGGAAATTTAGATAGGATATTGGAGCTCCCATAAAACTTATGGGTTAGAGATAGATATAAATAAATAGATAGATATAGATATAGATATCTATATTTGTTTTAATTTTTTTTTAATATACAAATTATTTGTTTTGGAAAAGGTACTGCAGTAATTATAAGAGAAATCAAAAAGTCTTGTGGGTTATAGATAGACATAGATAAAGATATTTATATTTGTTTTAAAATACAAATTATTTGTTTTGGAAAAGGTACTGCAGTAATTATGAGAAAAGTCAAAAAATCTTATGGGTTAAGAGAAGTTAATAAATGCTGAGATAATTATAATTTTTTTTTTAAAAACAAAAAATTAGAAAAATTTAGAGAATTGCCATTTGAACTCCACAGGCCTTCGAGGGTTAAAAACCCCATTTTGCTTAAGTTATATAGATATAGATAATATTTGATAGATGGAAGATAGACTAGATATATCTTTTTATTTTTATTTTGTGTGGTTTCTATTCGCAGGTATTTTTTTTTTCAATTTATTAAGATGGAGTTTTGGGGTATCTTTTTTTTTTTTTAATTAATTATCTTGGTTCCTTTTATTTTTAATGTATTATTATTTGGGTAGAGTTATGATGTGATTAGATTATGTGATAACATGTGAGTTTATTGATTTTAAAGCTATTTAATAACTTTAATTTTTTTTTTAGTTTTATAGTTTTTTTGTTATGTTTAAATATATACATTAAAAATAAGGTAAAGATATATACAAGCTTTAATAGACAAAATATTATCTGATTTTTTTGCGAGAGAAAATGAATGGTAAGTTTTAATATTTTTTTTGAAAATTTTGTGAGAGAGATTCAGGAGGGAGAGATTTATGAAATATTTTTGTTATATTAAATAAATAAATCAGCTCATATGTTTTTTTTAAATCTATTTTATAAATTAAAAATCGA